CACGATCCTCATTTTTGGACCCTTTGTACTGATGTTTACATAGGGACTTTGAAACTGTTCGTAGCTCCAGATGCTGATGCAAAGTGGATTCTAAGCCAGACTCACAACATTTTTACTCAGGTATCACATAACTATAAATGGGGCAATGTCTCTAACTAGAAAATAAATGTTTGTGTGTGTGTGTGAGATTAAGAAATTACAGGACAAGATGTTTTATCTCTTAAAGCTTCCAAAAGCCTGAGTGGGGTTTATAAATTTAATTCTAGAAGCTGAGGATGTCTTCAGAATTTTTATGTGTGTGTGGGGAGCACACCTTATGGAGGCACTCAAGCAAGAAAAATATCCTCATTTTTATTGTACTAAAAGTAACTGAGAGGGAAAGCCTAGTATTAAATTCTTGTGAATCACTTACTGTTGTGGCCCAGCTTCTGTGAGAGATGGGGATATTTACTGCGGGGGGAGAGGACCAGAGGCAAAGAGACTGAAGGAGAGCTGCATGGCTTTAGTGAAAGATTAGAGGGGTTGGGGAACTGAGGCAACAAGAAGCTGCTGAGGGAGGCCCCTTCAGAAGTGAAAGTAGTTTAAATTGTTCACAGGCCCTGGCTCAGGCTCTGGCCTAGGGGTGTGCAGGGAAAATGTTTTGGGTTTTGTTTTTTTAATTCGCGTATACTAAAGCCAATTTTTTCAGTATTCCCGAATATCCCTGAATACCAGTACCAGTATTGGTGCCCCAAAATATTCGATATTCCTGAAAATATTCTGCTCCATTATATCCTATGGGGCCATTGTAGTCAATGGCAAAAATCTTCTAACGAGTATTCAGTGAACTTGGGGGGGGGGGGGTTAGGTAGAGGCACCAATGACTTGGGGGGGGGGGGTTTAGGTAGAGGCACCAAATTTGTACTGTAGCTGCTGGAGCCTCTCCCCAAACTTCCAAGTTTGGAAAAGATTGGACCAGGGGGTCCAATTCTAGGGGCATCCAAAGAGGGTTCCCCCAATCCTCCATTGTTTCCTATGGAAAGGGGAAAAGGCAGGCAGCAGTGTCTCCCAGAGAATCTCTGCACTAGAAAGTAAGTGGTGTGTGGTGTGAGGGGGCATGTTTGCAAGGCCAGCAGCAGAACCAGTGCAATGTGCCCCCCAGAACCAGTGCCACTGTGGCAGTCAATGCCCAAACCCAACAGGACTTAGGTAAAATCTGAGAATCTCTGGGGGCATGTTTGCAAGGCCAGCAGTAGAATCAGTGCAATGTGCCTGCCCACCAGAACCAAACCCCCCAAAAAGCTCCCACAAGCCAAGAAATAAAATATCAAGCACAGTTAAAAATATAACTTTTAAACTGCAAAATAACGGGCTGGCAACAAAACCACAAACTAGAAGAGCCCTCCCCCAAAAAATAACCCCAGGAAGAGGCCTGAGAGGCCCTCGGGCCCAGAGGCCTACCCACCACCACCACCCTCAGGCCCCAAACCCACCAACCCACAACAAAATAAGAAAGGTTTTTTAAAAGTGTTTAAAAGTGCCCTAATAAGTCAAAGTAGTGTGATGTCTTCTCTTCAGTCTTCTGTTGTCCAGCAGGCAGGATGGATTCTTGATTGAAGTAGTCCAACAGTCAGCAGCAGGAAAGCAGGGTCAGAGCAGTAGCAGAAGCCAGCCACACAATCTCCAACCCAGGCTCTCTCAGCAGCAGGGGCAGGAATGGAGTCAGCCAGCCAAAGACCACTGCTTTTATGCTCTCTGGGCATACACAGAATAATTTCAAAAAAGATCAAACTTCTGTGATTGGCCAAAGAGTAGTATGCCAAATCCTATTGGCCAGTGCTCCTCCCCTGGGAAAGCAGCAAACTAGTAGCTGGGCTTCAACAAATGAAGCCAGCAGCAACAACAGCCTTGCAAGCTGCAATGGCATTTGCTAATACATTGCAGTGATTGGCTGTCTGTAAGGTCCCTCTTCCTCCCTCCTGGAAAGCAGAGCAAAGGGTAGGAAAGAGACAAAAATGAAAAGCCGCCCTGAGCCACTGGGTAGGGCGGCATAGAAATTGCAAAAATAAATAAATAAATAAAAAGGGGGGGGGGAAAGCCTCCCAGCGCCTGTATTCGGTAATGCCAAAAAAGCCAAATGCCCCCTGAATATTTTCGGGGTATTTTGGCATTCAGTATTCGGCAGCCCAATCAAATCAAGGAAAAATGTCGAAAAGACATTTTTTTTGGTTTTTTCTGGTTTGGCTTTACTGAATGCATACCCCTATGCTGGCCTCAGAGGTTTGTCCTGCTGTGGCTCTTGCTCCCTGGCCTCAGACCAGGAAGAGTGGGGGCTTGTTGACATAGGCCCCCACCCCCAAACACCGGCTGGAGCAGGTGGCCAGTTGTAAGCTCCTCAGCTTTTTCCTAGCCCATTTTAAAACAAGCATGGCAAACAGATTTGTAGAACAAGTTTTTATTTGTAGAACTGTATTCTAATGTGGTTCGTGTTTCTATATTTGCAGGCTGGAGTAAGACAACTCTATGTACAGATTGAGTTTGCCGCTATGTAGCAACTATCTTCCTGTTCCCTTTGGACCAAAGCTTTCTAGTACTGTAATGGTTTAAGACTTTGTACTTTCATTGGAACAGAGGCCCCTTCTTCTCGACATTTCTCCAAACCTGAATAGAGACTGCCAACTTGTGGCTACATAAAGAGGGGGGGTGGAAATGGAAAGGGTACAGACCTGGATCTTCATGAGCCCTAAACCTTTGTGAATTATTTGCTGAGTTCCAGCAGCAAACTTAATAATGTGGTATTGTAATCATTGGTTATGCTTTTTCCGAAGCTGGTGAAGCTATTGCTGAATCCCACAAAGCCAGTGTTGTTATGGGAAAGGGGCTGAAAGGAAGTTTTATTTTGCTCATATGTCACTGTGGTTGACATTCTACAACCTTACTGTATGTTAACACTGTTTGTACTTTTGCAAACTTAATGAACCAAACCATATTGGGTTTTAGTGCCTTTCTATCAGAATATCTGCCAGAACAGATATGGAACATTGGGGGGGGGGATTTTTATTGATTTTTATGGCTACTACTTGTACCAATAGAATTCTTGCTTGTGATTGGTGTGATTTATGTGTAACTGCATAACGATAGCTCTTTGATTCCCTTCTTACTATTACATTTTAAATTTCCATGGAGGTGACTCTTCAGTTTTATAATACAAAGGCTTAACGATTTCAGGAGGTTTGTTTACAAAGTGCTTGACTACCAAGAAGTACGACCAGACAGATAGTGCCTCGGCTCTCTAGCAGTAATGTAAAATTACTGCGTTTGGTCATAAGGCTAGAGGAAAACCTGCAGGAAAGTGATGCTACTGCTTGGTCCTTTCAGTTTTTCTTCTTTCATATGCAAGCTTCTTAACTTGTGCATAAGCCATGCCATAAAGATTATTAGTTGATGTGCTATTTTTTTAATGAGGCACTTGAAAAGGATGCTTTGTATGTATCACCTCTTCCTGGTTTTGTTGGCTGAGGAGGGGTGCTATGTCTGGCTGACTTAATGGGAGAATGAAGGCTTTATAGATGCTGGCTGATAGATGATATGTATTTTGGCTTCCAATTCCATGTTTGCACCTAGTATTAGCAAGCACTTCAGTCTTGAAGAGCCCATAAATATTTAGCCAGAACGTTTACCCAAGAAATTGCACCAGCCCCTATCTGCAGCAGCACCCATAGTTATTGTGGATTATCATGGAACATAATTGGGTTTTGCTGAATCATAGCCTGTGTATTTTGAAGTTTGATAGTACATTTGAGTTTAAAACCAGCCGTGGGGTTTTTTTCCAGCAAAGCCCTATGGCACTTAACACCAGGCAAGTCTTTTAGTAAGTTGTTCTGTGGTTCAACCAACATCTGCTCAAAGCTGCCATCTTTCATGCTTTGTCTTAATTTGAGGTTTCTTTTAAATGTTACAGGAGTGCCATGATACATTTTCCCCGTGTGTTCATCCTGTAATGTTAATGTAATGTTTAAAGGCCTGGTGGGGCTGGTCACATGAGTCATGGCCCTGGAATCTGTGCTCTTTTGCTAGTAGAACATTTAGAGAGCACCTCAGACACTGAATAACAAGAATCCCATGGATGGTTTTCTTTGTGTCTAATGCTGAAGCTGATTTTGGTGGAAATTGGGAGTGTGTGCTAGGAATACTTTTTACTAATCAGAACAGCTGAGAAGTATTCCATTAATGGAAACCACTCCCTTGGTTTTCCAAAGGCTGCTTACCCGGTTACATGGAGTAATCAAGATAAGGTTGCTTTAAGGGGGGGGGGGAACTTGCTGCTTGATGATGTAATTGTTTCTCCAAAATACATACATTGCAATGGCATTAGGTATTTCTGACACCTGCATTAGAGAGGTTGCTGGAATAATGTCTAGTGTGGCCATTGTTTTACCAAAATAAAGCACCCTTGTAAATTCATTTCAGCCCATTTTGATTTTAGGTAATCTCTTATGTACTATTTAAGTGCTAGTTGTGGTTTGCTTGCTGCTAGTTTAGCAAGACCCAAGCTGTAATTCAAGATACGGAGATGAATCTTGGCCCATGATGTTTCTACAGCCATGTGTCTGGATTGCATTCCTTTCCACAGGACACATTCTTCACAAATTATTATTTTCCTTCAAGGGCTAAAGGTATTTCCCTGCATGGAAATTTCTGTGTACCTCGCCACTTAACATATGCACTGTGCCAAATATCTGTGCCATACATTATTCATGAGCCATGATAGACTCACACTGTCTCTACCTGGAAACGATCTACCTGAGGAATATAGTAATATGTGAAATGGCTCTCAGTCCAGTTGACTTGATGTCTAGTTCAGCAAAATGATTTTCACTTTTTAGTTTAAAAGGACTGCTCATTTGTCCAGCTCAGCACTTCACTTGCACTGTCGGATGAAGGTTTCCATCACGGGGCATGGCTGCTTAGGCTCCTTTTAGTGCTATTAATTTGCTTAAGGCATTTTTGCAAAGAAGTGATTGTCTTTACTGCTGTTGACCTTTCTCAGCCCTGTGACACATACCAACGCTTGTTAAATCATACTCTCCCAAACACATTTGTGTTTATCTGTTTTTGAAGGCACAGATTAACTTAGTGCATTGCTATGGTACAACCTACATTCCAGTGCAGCCATGTAATTACCCAGTAAACAGAATGTGCAGATTTGTCTCCATCACAATACAAGCTTTTCAATTTAGGGGAATGAGTCTTTAGTATAATAGGCTGCCTGATATTGGAAAGAAAACAAAGTATCCTGCCATCTAGTAATAGGGTGGTGTTTATTACTGAGTAAATAGGTTCAGTGGTCTCTTTTTTTCATGAAAGGCACTGATAGAATTCTCGAGACTCCTGCATTTGTCTTCCTTTAGCAACCTGTCAGTAGTTACAGGGGTGTGCATGTATTGGGAGGGTGGGGTCATTCCCATTTATCAGCTGAAATTATCAGAATACAGGTGAGTAACATAAATAGGAATGCTCATTTTAAAAAATCACCATAATGTATTTCTCAGGCACTGAAGAGGTCATAGCTGTGAATTTTCCATTTTCCAAACTAGATGTTACAGACAGGCCCTTGGTATACGGTATGGAAGGAAAACATGTCTTTGTACTTTAATGCAGTTTAAACACGAGTACCCCAATTTTTAGCTTTTGGGTTGGACCAGACTCCTCCATTAAATGATGTGCTGCACAATATCAGCAGAGGTGGGAACAATCTCCTTAGTTCTCCCACTCCTGCTATACCTTTCTGTAGTATAGCAGAAGGATACTTTTAAAAGTGAAAGCTTCCAATTGTTTTGACACCAAACAGTGTTGTCCTGCAAACAAGATGTTGTGGTGCAATTCTGTGGTTGAGGTTTTGAAGTAATTTGAAGGATTAAACCTGAAGCAATGCTGAGTGCTAACTGCATTTTACCAAGTTCACGTGCACACATAAACACACAATAAGAATTTAGCAATTGGCAGTTGCTATCCCTGGTCAGAGATACATTGCAACTTAAACCAATTATTCAACTTGCAGAAAAACAGTACAGCTTTGCATCCAACTATGTCACGCTGCGTTGGTCTGGCAAGCGTGGCTGTCCTGATTTGAAGAAAACACAGAGTTTTGGGATATGCCCTGTCCACTTTCTGATCAAGCTATTTTAATTTGTTGACCTTGTCCTGGTTATTCTATGTAGCTGTTCTGTTGCTTTTTGCTGCAAGGAATCTTTCTCCAATGGACAATTCTGTGTTCCTCATCATTCCCCCCCTCTTCCTGGTTGCTGTTTTCTGTTGTAGATGCTTGAATTTCACTGTCCTCACACTTAACAATTGTCCCATTAATCTTCTGCTTAACTGTTGTAATGACGCCCTGTAGAAAATACATAGTCTACATGCCAAATCTCAGCTGGCAATTGAAAATGCCTTGACAAATATGAAATTAACCCTTTTCAGTGACTGCTGCCTCACAACTTTTTGTTCGGGATCAGTTTTGGGTATGAAATGCTTCATGGAAGCAATGTTTCATAGTATTCATCCCAGAAGTATCTCATGAGGGAAGTGGTAGGCACAGTGATTTTATTGCCAAAACTTAACCTATGAGTTCTAGAGTGGACTGGCTGGACTGTGAAATCCTGAGTGGGAAAATATTGCTGAAGCTATTTCTTAAATTGCACATAAGGCAAGGACCTTGCTGTCATCAGCCTTTTATTCTGTTTGTAAATGTATTATGATTTCCCTGTTAGGTAAATTCAAACAGGTGACTACACATCAGCGATGATTGTATTTGGTACCTGGGAATACTAAAGTTAGTAGCCAGTCTGACTTGCCTAAGTGCAATATTGGATATTTCAATGCATCTTTTTCTACTTGAATATGTACTATTAAATATTTAAACAGCTATGTTTGAGACAATACTTGGGATCAGTTTTCCTACCAATAAACTTCCTTTTTAAAAAGCCCAAAGGCTGTGCATCTCTTTCCTTAGACCAAGTCCCCCAATACTGCTGTGGTACATCTAAGTCTCTCAACTATCTCCGTGTAGGCAATTTAAAAAACAAACAAACAAAACCCTGTGGGAATCATTTGACTCCAGGTATGGTGAAAGCAATGCATTGATGCATCTCTTTGACTGCTAAGACTGAGCCATTGTGAAGTAAAAGTGCAATGTTGGGAGGCAGATTCAGAGGAACCATTTCGCAGGTATAGCAACAGGCCAAGCATTTGGCAGCAGTGGCTGGTGATCAAGGTGGTACTTTCCCCAGCTGTTAAGATCGCAGTCTTTGCTGCTAGTTGCTGCTTCATTCTCATCGAAGTAAGTAAACCCATGTTCAAGTTGTACCTCTTCACGCTATAAGTGGTGGTCACCAATGCTCCCTCTAAACTGTGGAGTCTTGTGAGCAAAAATTCTACTTTGTGAGCTACTGGCATTAATACATACATACGAATCTCATCTACTTTAATTTCATGCAGCTTCAATGTTCTTTATTGCTAAGGCAGGTTCAAAGAGCTAAAACTACTGAATTGCCTCATAACCATTAGAGCTAGAAAGTACTATGCAAATATTGACAACTTTACCTGATGGTAGCTGCAGCCTGGGAGCAGAACCAGCATCGGGCCTCCCAGGCAGTCAATGGAGGTAGTCCTCCCTCCCCTCCCTGTACCCACCCACCCACTCCCCTTTTTAACTTACCCTGGATCGACACATTCAATAAAGATTAGCTGTATAGAAAATTCTATTCAGTTTTCAAATATGACTTTATTTACAGCAAAGAGTTTAAGCATCTCTATTTCCAGCGGATGCAGAATGCCGGTTATGATCATAGAGTGTAGAGGACCTCCAAGTTCTGCTGTGATCATTTCCTGTAGTGTACCTGAAGCAATCTTTTGATCCACTGCACCCACTCTTGCTAAGCCAACACATACAGTATCTTCTGTAACTTCTGTAAGAACAATTAAGAAGAGAAGGTTATGGGGGGGGGGGGGGGGTTGGTACATGCCTTACTTATTCAGGAAGTACC